ATTTTGTGTTTTATCATACTTAATTAAAAAAATATTTAATAATTTAAATTAATTTATACAATAAAACAAGATACACTTTAATTAATTAAGAAAGCGGATTGATGGGGCATCGGAATCGGAGTCATTATAATATTTAATAATTTAAATCAATCCCTTTATCATATTTCACACGTACGTTTGATTTAAAAGTTTTTATTTTTAATAAAAGTAAATTATGACTGAGTTTGGCTATAATAAGACATTTTTTCATTATAATATAATGCTACATGTTATTTCTTGATTGTTATGAATGAGTTCCCAAAAAATTGAAGAGAACAAAAACAAAAGCAGGATTAAGGCAAAAAAATAACGTCAGAGATATAATAATAACAAAGTGTAGCTATTTTCCTCTAATTGTTAGGATTGAAATTGTCACGAGTATTTTACCATACATAGATCGATAGAAATTAGTTAGTGAAATGGAGTGTAAGTTGAGAAAAAAAAATAGTTAATTATTTTAGCATGCAAAAAGATCAATGGTCCTGGTCTACATGTTGTGAGCGGCGGTTTCTTATTCTAAATTCCACGGCCATGGAATTCGTTGCACCCAACTTAAGAAAAAAGTAAAAAAAGTTATGATACGGTTTCTTCTCTGGTTCCCCTCTGATTTATCTCGGAAGAGGAAATGGAAAAGCAGACACAAAAAGCCAAAGAGGAGGCAGATGAAGGCCTCAACTCCAATAACAATCGTCCAAGTCACCGATACTTTCTTCTTCTCCGATTCAGGGGAAGTGTTTGGTGGTGGCGCATTATTTATTATTATTAGATCTGGATTTCCACTTGCGTTGATCAAAACATGCTGGCTGAACTGAGGAAGAACCCCAGAGAGCTGATTATTGGAGAGTATGAGCTGCGTTAGGGACACCAATCCACGCAGGGAATCACGAACCTTGCCCGAGAATCTGTTGTTTGAGAGATCCAAAACTTCCAAGCTCGTCAGTTGAGAAAGAGTGGTTGGAATAGGTCCTTGAAAGAGGTTGCTGCTGAGATTCAAAACAATCTGCAACTTTGGTGGCATTCTAGGAATACTCCCACTTAGTTTATTTCCTCCAAGGTTGAGTTCTAACAGAAAATTCAAGTCTCCAAGAGTGACGGGGATTGAACCAACAAGATTGTTGCTCTGTAGGATCGTGTTTGTGAGTTTCGTCATATTTGAAATTGAAGATGGAATTGAACCAGTAAGATTATTACAGCTGAGGTTGAGTACTCCCAGACTCTGTAACCGTGTAATCTCAGGTGGGATTTGCCCATCCAATTTGTTTTGCTGAAGCTTCATAACTTGAAGCTTGGTTAAGTTGCCCAGTTGCACTGGCAGTGTCCCAGTTATGTTATTCTGAGCCAAGTTCAATAGCAACAAATTCTGGCAGGCACCCAACTCCGGGGGAATGGACCCAAAAAAGTTATTGTTTTCCAGCTCCAAGTAAACCAAGTTCCGAATTGTTGCAAGTTTTGCAGGGATTGAGCCGCTGAGTAAGTTGCTTCCCAATCTCAGCCTTACCAAGCTGCTGCTGGAAGATATTCTTTCAGGTATTGTTCCATGTAACAAATTATAAGACAAATCCACGTGCTGCAAACTTGACTGTGACAAAAGGTCAGATGGAATCAACCCACATAGGTTATTATAGCTAAGGTCTAAAATTTTGAGATATGTTGTGATCCCACCAGGAACTACAACAAAATTGTTCTGATTAGCTGCAAACCGCTGCAGGCTGCTGATACTCGAAATGGATTCGGGGATTTTTCCACTCAATCTATTTGATGACAGAAGCAAGAGTTGCAACTTGGACAGGTTACCGATAGCTTCAGGAATGGACCCATTAAGAAAATTATCACTAAGATTAAGGAGGGTTAAATTCTTATATGCCAGCACTTCTACAGGAATTTCACCATGGAACATATTCTTAGACAGCTGAAGTTGTTCCAAAACAAAAGATTTTCCTAGCTGAGTAGGGACAGACCCACTGAATCTATTGTAACAAAGATTCAAACTTTTGAGTGAAATCAACTGACTCAACTGTGAATTAATCTCTCCACTCAAATTATTAAAAGACAAATCCAAGAATTCAAGTCCAACAAAATTTCGAAAAGTAGGCAAAGAACCGACCAACCTGTTCCTGCTAAAATCCAACAACTTCAACCCATCAATCCCTCCACAACCATTGAAGAACCCATCTGAGATACTTTTCAAATAGTTGTTGGACAGGTTCAGAGACTGCAAAGAACCAATCTTGCACAGCTCAGTCAGAAAGTCAGAGCCAGAGAGACCAAACCCATATAAAGAAAGTGAGATTATGGAGCTGTTGTTCGGGGGGCTGCAACTGACACCTTTCCACAAACATGGGTCAGACGCTTTGGTTCCATTCCATGGTGAAGGTGTGACGCCGAGCGACTGATTCAGATTGAACATGATACTCCTTTGACTTTCATCAAGCTGAGCCAACACCAAGGGATGCAACAAGAAGAAGAAGGACAAGAACAAGGAAAGACTCATTTTTTAGACACTCTATATCTGTTTACTTCTAGTATTATATATATATATATATATTCTATGCAACTCTCTGAAATATATGTATGTTGTTGGGATTTAGTTGGTGGAAGGAGACAAAAGAAGAAGAGGGACTGAGCAGCAGTGGATTTGGAGAGGGGAGATGTCTGGTGGATTTTATGTTTTTCTATGTGGAAATTCATAGGAAAGTGCGTGTAAGTAGAAAATGTTTCTGTTTGGCGTGTTGGGAGTGGAGTGGACTGCACAAGCCTTTCTGCCACAGCAAAAAGAAGAATTCAACTGACAATAACTTTCCTATTTTTCCCTCTTTCCCACTTTGACCCACAAACACGTTCCTTTTTAATTTAAAGTCCCTAACTTTGTAAATTATAGAACAATGGTAAATTGCATTTCACCCTCAAGCGTTTGGCATAGGTGCACTTTACTCTACAATCACAAATATATGCATAGCATTAGACTGTTGTTTTTTATTGCTCACCAGGAATTATTTTGTTAAAACATTAACAAACTATTTGTATAAGGTTCAAAATTAAACTCAAGCATCCATAAAAAATAAAAAATAAAAATTAAACTCAAGCAGGAAATTTTATAAAAGTTCTAAGTAAATTAAATAAGACCTTAGTAATGGGTTAAATGTTAGATAAAAGTGATAATTAATATGTATTTAATTTTTTTTTCTTTTTATTACTTTGGCTCTAGGATTAGACTAACTATAAAAGGAGAATTCATGTATATTTAAGCTAAATTAAGTTAAAATTTTTTCGATGGTTCTGTTGTTAATATACTTAAGTAATAAATATATCTATACATTTTTTAATCTAATTTTTTTGATAATATACTTAAGTAATAAATATATCTATA